GATACTGAGCCAAACCTTTCATTCCACTGATGAGCAAACAGCCTTGCCTGAAGTTGATGGGACCTGCCCAAGATTCTCCAGATAATTGTGGTGGGGCTGGGATTCTAGGGCAGAGGCCAGGGCAGGCCTGCACACAGCTGGGCTGGGTCTTGCCTGCCTTTGAGAGGCTGATGGTGCAGTTGGCAGGGTGTGGCACCATAGGGTCTGTGCGTGTGTGTGTGTGTGTGTGTGTGTGTGTGTGTGTGTAACAGAAGTGCCCCAGGTCACTCTGAAAGCTTCACAATGTTCCGGTACTGAATGAGACCTCACAGGTTATCTCAGCTGAGCTCCCAGGCAGTGGGGAAATTGCCAGATGACTGCTTAATTCTGAATCACACGTACCCGAGGCCTCCCATCTTTGAGGTGTGCAGTGTGTGCACACAGCTTCCACTGGGTAATATTTCTTTGACTCTCATGTCAACTTCTTCATTGGCACTTGGGCTAGAGTCACAGCTGGGATTATGGCTGTCACATATATGTACCAGCACATATATGCACATATGTGTATGCACACACATGCTCACATACATCCACACGGAGCACCTCCCTGGTTGTCACTTGGGCTCCTCCAGGCTCACAGGCCCGGAAGAGCATTTTCTTGCCTCCATGCAGGGCTGAACTTCCTCTGTGCTCAATTACCTCGTCCTTTAGAATTTCTGGAAATGTTGGGAGGCCGAGGCGGGTGGATCATGAGGTCAAGAGATTGAGACCATCCTGGTCAACATGGTGAATCCCCGTCTCTACTAAAAATACAAAAAATTAGCTGGGCATAGTGGCGCGTGCCTGTAATCCCAGCTACTCAGGAGGCTGAGGCAGGAGAATTGCCTGAACCCAGGAGGCAGAGGTTGCGGTGAGCCGAGATCGCGCCATTGCACTCCAGCCTGGGTAACAAGAGCGAAACTCCGTCTCAAAAAAAAAAAAAAATTCTGGAAATGGAAAGCCCCCACCTGCCTGAGCCAGAGGTGAGCCTGGGTGGCTTTCTTTGCTTCCTTTGGTCTGGGAAATCTGATCATTCCAGTCCAGTCCAGCCAATGAGTTTGACAGTGTGGAAGAGGAAGCATAAGAGAAGGTGCCAGCCTTCTGGGGCATTCATTCCTCCCTGGCAGCTCCAAGCCCAGCTAGTGTTCCCTGTAGATTTTGACAGATAAAAGCTGGCATCTAAAGGCTCCTGAGCCCCGTGAGGGTGGGGCCCGAGCCTCCTGTTCAGCCCCCTCACACCTTGGGCTTCACCCTCTGCTGACTGGTGAGGCCATGTGCTCCAGGAGGAAAGGGCTTCCATCTGTCCCTGGTGGCATTTCCAGAACCAGCAGCGCAGGTTGTCACAGAGCTGGCACTCAGGATGGATTTGATGGGGAGGGCTGTGACCTGTCAGTCTGTTGTTTCACGGGAGATAGAGGGAGGCAAGGAACCAGGTAGAAGAAGGCATGGGAATCAAAACTAAGGCAGTATGGGGGGAGGAGCAATCAGGGTGGCTTCCAAGAGGAGGTTGTGCTGCAGCTGAGCTTGGAAGAATTACAGCAGTCAAAGAGGGAGAGAGGGGGGACAGGGCGGAGCAGCAACAAACTGGGATGGGCCTGGCCACTAAGACTCAATACAGCTTCGATGGCCAGAGGTTTGGATGAGCCCAGGTCATGCAGGACCTTGTAGCCACATGAGTAGGTCTTGGTTCAGTCAGCAGAGCGGGGAGCCTGGGTGTGGGAGGGGAGAGTGGCAGAGTCTCTGCAGTTGAGGCTGAGCCCCTCCTGTGTGAAGGATGTGGGATGGCTGCAAGGCAGGGAGGCCAGCTTTTGAGAGGCTATGCCGAGGCTCAGCTGAGAGACCAGGAGGGTCTGAAGGAGGCAGGGGAAGTGGGAGCAGGAGGAGGGCAGGCTCAAGAGACAGCCAAGGTATGGGATTGACAGGACCCAGCAGTCCTAGAAGCCAAAGTGCCCAGGAAATGACAGCAGCGCCCCGTGTTTCCTTAGCACAGGTTTCTCCAGTACTCAAGACACCACCTCATGGATAGTCGGTCTCATGGTGTGAAGGGCCAATCCTAGCACACGAGGGGGTAAAGTGCCTTGGTCGTGACCAGATTACTTATTCACTGATAATTTCTTAACTTCTTCTAGTAAAGGCTTTGAGTGGCTTCCATGAATACATGAAATAAGGCAACAGAATGCCAAATTATTATTTTTTTTAAGGAGAAAGAAAAAGATGGAAAGGCTAAAATTGTATGCTAACTCTAATAACCCATGCTCTTCCTAAAATGGGCCACACCTCCAGCTCTGGACTTGGTAGCAGCAGATAAAAAGGGACACTTGATCAGTGACATGAGATAAAAATAAAAACCAGATAAAAGTTTAAAAAACAAATCACTTGGCCGGGCACGGTGGCGTGTGCCTGTATGTAGTCCCAGCTACTCAGGAGGCTGTGGTGGGAGGATCGCTCAAGCCCAGGAGTTCTGGGCTGTAGTGCGTTATGCCAATCGGGTGTCTGCACTGAGTTCTGCATCAATATGGTGACCTCCCAGGAGTGGGGGACCACAAGTTTGCCTAAGGAGGGGTGATCCAGCCCAGGTCGGAAACAGAGCAGGTCAAAACTCCCGTGCTGATCAGTAGTGGGAGCACACCTGTGAATAGCCATTTCACTCCAGACTGGGCAACATAGTGAGACCCCGTCCCTTAAAAAAAAAAAAAAAACACTTGGGAGAATTACAGCTACTGTTAGTATTAAAACTGTGAATGTCTTCAGCAGATGACCCCAAACGACCTAATGATCGATGTCCTCAACAATATCCATAGAATATCCATAAATAGAACAATGAATCTTGTAATGTTTTTTTTCCCTGATGTTGGCAAAAGCAGAACATCAAAATATAACTCAGTAAAAGCTGCCCTCTCGGGATGTGGTTGTTGGTGGCAACGAGACCCCAGCTGCCTTCTGGTCTGGCCTCTTGAAGGCTACATTTTAGAATAAGTGCAGAAGGTGCTAGATGTCGTTGAAGCCTCTGCCTGTGAGCAGTGTGTGTCTCAGCTGAGCTTAGGACAACCACTGAGTCATAATGAGTTCCAAGCTGTGCTTCAATATGAGATCCCAGTGGCTATTGTCAGGTGTCCTGTTCAATGAATGAACATCCTGTGAGGCAATTTTGCTGAAGAGAGGTTACCATTAGCTGGGAAATTTCAGTCACTGAAACGTCTGTGACCCTAACTGCCACAGAGCACACCAACCACCCTCCATCTGCCCCGGCCCATGCCCTTCTTGGAGGGAGGCAAAGAACCAGGTAGAAGAAGGAAGTCATGGAAATCAAAGCTAAGGGGGTATGTGGAGAGGAGCAATCAGGGAGACTTCCAAGAGGAAGTGCTGCCGGAACTGAGCCCAGACGAATTACAGTAGTCAAAGAGGGAGAGAGAGGGGGCAGTGTGGAGCAGTGTCAAACTCACTGCCCTGCAGCTAGGCCAGCCCTGACATCCCCTCAAAGCCTGGCACCTGCTCCTGCCCCAGGAACTTTGCATACGCTGTTTCCTCTCCTTGGGATGCTGGTCTTCCAATCCCTGGCCTGACCAATGCTTGGTCTGCCTCTTTCAGGTTTTAAGTGCCATTCTTCTGACTGCTGATCCCTTTTCTGATTTGACCACACTAGGCTGAAGTCCCCATTTTCTGCCTTCTCATCACCTGTTCTTTAACTGTTTAACCCTTAACATAACTGTTAAATGTGGTTATCTGTCTGAAAGTTGAGTTAACATGTCACCTCACTGGCCTATCAGTTTTGTTCTTTGCACGAGGACCTCGCTGGGTGCCTAGCACGTAGCACATGCTCAGTGAATAGATCCTTCGTGGGCGGGTGAGCCAAACCAACAGGTCCTAGTCATAAGCACACAGAGACTTTCATCTGAAAGCTTCTTTTTGATTCCATTTGTGCACAGAGTGGAAAGGGGCCTAAGGCCCCTCTAGTGGCACCATAAGGCTCTGTACAGACAGACGGTCCTCAGGAAGGGGGTGACCAGAGGGCCAAGTCAGCTAAAATCGAATCTTAGCTCAGCACCTGGTGGCACTTCAGCTTTGAGCAGTAATCCTGTTCCTTGCTATAGGGTTTTTGTTTTGTTTTCGCCTGAAGGATGTGATCTCTGGCCTCATCTCCCAGCCCAGAGCTATTTCTAAGAAGCCATGCTGGTCTTGTCCTCTGGCCAAATGTCCATATCGCTAAAGCAAGGCTCCCTTCCATGTGAAAGGTCTCTGTTGCTTTTACACTGTTGGTAGGAGTGTAAATTAATTCAACCATTGTGGAAGATAGTGAAGACAGTGTTGGCGATTCCTTAAGGATCTAGCAATAGAAATACCATTTGACCCAGCAATCCCATTACTCAGTATATACCCAAAGGACTATACATCATTCTTCTATAAAGACACATGCACACGTATGTTTATTGCAGCACTGTTTGCAATAGCAAACACTTGGAACCAACCCAAATGCCCATCAATGATAGACTGGATAAAGAAAATGTGGCACATACACACCATGGAATACTATGCAGCCACAAAAAGGATGAGTTCATGTCCTTGGCAGGGACATGGATAAAGCTAGAAATCATCATTCTCAGCAAACTCACACAGGAACAGAAAAACAAACACCATATGTTCTCACTCATTAGTGGATATTGAGCAGTGAGAACACATGGACACAGGGAGGGGAACATCACACACTGGGGCCTGTTGGGGGTTGGGGGGCTAGGGGAGGGATACCAGGGAGTGGGGGATAGGGGAGGGATAGCATTGGGAGAAATACCTAACGTAGAGGACGGGGTGAGGGATGTAGCCAGCCACCGTGGCACGTGCATACCTATGTAACCTGCACGTTCTGTACGTGTACGCCAGAAGTTAAAGTATAATAAAAAGAAACAAGAAAAAAAAGAACCTCTGGGACTTCTCACGTCTCCAAAAGCTGCACGGGGCTTCTCCAGAAACTGCAGTTCTCTCTGTAGGTGCCTGGACGTGATGATGGCCGGTCTCACGCCAACCACCATCAGGAAATTCTATGAGGCTGGCTGCAAGGTGAGAATAATCCGGATAGGGCACGGGACCCCTGGCAGGGGGACTTCAGGAGCAGCCCAGATGCTGGGATTTCACCCACCAGGCCAAGTTCTCCCCAGAATATCTATTTGACATCACCATATATTTTATTTTGCCACATGAACACATTTGTTTTAAAAAAGACTTTTTATTGTTAAAAGGATGTTTTAGCATCAAAAAAGTAGAAAGACTTTAATCTGAGGTGGGGAAGAAGCAGCAGAGCCTTTCTCACTGAAACAGCAGAAGAGCTTCCAGGACGTTCTTGCTGGAGCTGTGAGGTCTGGACCCACCTGGGTCTAGTCAGTGTGCCAGAGTTAGGAATAAATGATAGAACCCAATGCTTATTCTCAGAGGAGAAAACAGAGCCACAGAGGGCAGCAACCTCAGTGCCTGGGGAAACCAGCTGGGTCGAAACCCCAGGCCTCGTGACTCCAGCTCCCCCTGTGTGGCCATCAATGGCCTGGGGGTTACCAGTCAGCATGCCACAGTTTCCTATTGTCACGTCCTCCCCTTCACCCCCCTGGCAATTCCAAGGCCACTTGTGGTGGCATCTGCATTCTGGTCAGCATTTCTCAGCACCTCTTGGGCTGCAGAAGCACCCCAGGCCCTGCAGCTATTCGAGGTGTGCTAAGACTCTCTCAAGGTCCCTGGGGGGAAGCCTTTTCTACTTCCCCTGCCCTTTAATTCTTGCTTTTTGGGTGTGTTCACACCGTAGCCTCAGAACTCCCTCGAGCACACCCCCTGAGCCCTCCATGATCAGCCACTGACTTGGGCCAGTGTGCAAGGCCTATGGGGGGTTCGCATCCGGCTCTGCCACTTATGAGTTGTGTGACTGGTAACAGGCAAGAGCAGGAACCTGGGAGTATGTTTCCCCACTAGTAACATAGGGAAGACTATGAACCCATCTCATAGGTTTTCAGTGAGGATTGATTTAAATCAGCCAAGTGCAGCGGCTCCAGCGTAGAAAAAAACACTTTGAAAACGGTATCCGCTGTAATTCACGTATTTTGTAGAAAACATTTGAGCGTGTCTGCAGCGACTCTCCCTCGGAGCACACATGTAGCGTCCTCGCAGGCCAGCAGAGGGCGCCAAGAGTTCAGGACTTCATTAACTGGCTTTTCTTGTCTTAGTACAAGGAAGAGCAGCTCACCACGGCCTGCGAGAAGTGGCTGGAAATGAACTTGGTTCCTCTGCTGGGGACACACGTCCACCTCTGCAGAGTCCCGCAGGACCTGCTCCACAAAGTGCTGAAGTCTCCCAGGTCAGAGCTGGCTCTGAGAGGGGCTTGGGAGAAGGTGGGGGCTAACCTGGGGGGGATGGGCTCTGGGGGAGGCTGCACTCACGCCTTAGCATCCTGGCCTCCCGGACAGTTGGGCCTCGGCTGGGGCTGGAACTCAGGGTGCTGTGTGCGGCCTTGGGAACAGGGGTCACTTCACGCTCCTTCTTGTGGGTAGGGACCCTCTGAGTCCCTGTTGTCTCATTACTCGCCTGGGTAGGAAAAATGAAAGACTTAATTACCTAAGTAATTTTTAGAAAAAATCCTGACAACATTAATGCACACTCATTATAGAAAATAAAATCTCTCGCCCTGAATCATTTACATCTCCAGCCCTGACTCCTCTGCTGAATAATTCTAGACCCACATGTCTGACCGCCTGCTTGACCTCTCTGGCAATTAGAGTTAAAACCCAAATCTCAGTGCCCCTGCCCTTTCCTGCACCCAAGCCTGCCCCCAGTGTTCCTCCACCATCTGACTAGCAGATCAAGCTAGAGCCTTGAGAGTCCTGGACACCACTTTGGCCGCACCCCGACCCTGGGGTCATTTCTACTTCCCAATCAAGTCCAGCGCTATGGACCTCTCTCCGCTGGTAGCAGCCCCAGCCCAAGACCGGAGCTCCAGGGTCTCTTATTTGGACCAAGGTGACCTCTAACTGTCTTGCTTCCGGTCTAGACCCCCTTCTAATCGCATCTCTAGCCAACAGCCTTTGCCTCTGGACCTGGCTCTTTGATCTCACACAGCGTGAGTGCAGCCACCGGCGACCCCCGGAAACTTCCCTGCTGAACACCTCCCCATACCAGGCCCCAGTTCATGCCCATCCTCCTGCCTGAAATGCCTGTCCTCTGCCAGCTCTCCTTCTCCTTTGCAGAAATTCAAGGAGATATTCCCCCATGCCAGGCTTTTTAGGTTATTTCCAATCTTTTACCAATACAAATAGCACACTGGTGAACATCCTTCAACATTTATCTTCATCTCAGATTCTTTCCCCACATTGAATTCCCAGAAGTGAAATGACTAAGTCAAAAGAACTTTCTATTTTATACTTGTGTCTTAAACATTTGTATTTGCGAAAAAGAATTTCCAAACTTACAGAAAAGTTGCAAGAATAATGCATAGATTGTATACACCCTGTGCCGTCAATCACGCTAGAGTTCAATTTCTGCCCTGCTTGTTATATCATCTGCATCTCTGCGTGTATCTATATACACACTTGTTTTTTTTCTGAAATATTAATATTTGGGGTAAGTCACATTTATTAAGGTCCTTTACTCCACATGCTTCAGTGTTTATTTCCTAAGAAGAAGAATTTTTTGGAAATTATAGTGCAGTTATCAACTTGAAAAAATTTACATTGATGTAATACTTGAACGTCACTTGCCCAATACTGTCTTTCATAGTGTTTTTTTCTCCAGTGCAGGATTCTGTTAGGACCACTTAGTTGTCATATCTCTTTAGGACTTTATTCAAAAAGATCTTGGTACTCATTTCCAAGTTACCCAAATTTTATTACCTTTGAGGAAATTTCAAAAGTGAAAACTACATTCCACTGAAAATCCTAGTAGAATATTAGAAAATGAGTGTTTACTCATGTTTATGTGTGGAAAGTGTTCTGGTTTCAGAAATTAGATTTGGAAAGATTTATTCCACTGTTGGTTTGAAGTGGCTACATAGCATGTAATGCCCTGACATTTGCAGAGATGCGAGTCAGGTAGAACGGAGTTCTGGGATGGAGGGAAGGAGACCATATTCTGTAGGAAGCCCCCGGGAATCCCAGCTTCAGGCCAGCTCAGGACATTGGGTGCACTTCTAAAGTCATTCCGGGGTGTTCTCTGCTTTCCCCCACTCAGGCGCTCCCCTACTCCCCAGTGGAGCAAAGTTGCGTAATTGTTGAAGAAAAGATAAACATGGCATCTCTTAGAGTTTTCATAATGTCCCTCCCTTGGAAAGGCTGAGCTGTCACACCCTGGCAGCATTAACTTGGTTAAAGAGAAAAAAATGTCTGACCACAACCAGAACGTTAGTGGTGGCATAAGCCTGACAGACGCACGCTGGGCAGGAAAAGAGGTCAAGAGCATTACGTGTCAAGTGTCTAGACTCACCGGCCTGGCAGACATGACTGATGTGGAAAATGGGTCCTGCTCCTCCGGCCCCTCCCCAGGAGCTGTCTGAACAGATAGTCTATCACTGAAGGGGGAAGAGCCCTGTGTGGCTCCCTTCAGGAAGGAGGAGGCTTGTTAGAAGTTTCACCTGCTAGGGCTTCTCGTATGGGGTGCTTGTGAGTTTCAGGCTGCTGGCCCGTGGATTTGGCACCATGGTCCACAGCTGGTTCACAATGAACCTTTCTCGAGCTAACATTGTGACGTGTGCTGTGTGCTGTGTGTGCTGTCCCTTTCTATCCTCACCACCCCCTGTGGTGGGCACAGTTGTTATCCCTGATATAAGAGGGCTAATGAGCGGGGCAGGGCCTCCACTGGCTCCAAAGTCCAATCTTGCCCTGGGTGCTGCGCCCCTCATCGCTGGTCATGAAGGCCAAGGTTACCAGCAACTGAAAGGACGTAGTGAGAACTGATGGTCCCAAGGAGCCACGTGGCCCCAGAGTGGGATGTGTGGAATGCAGACTCCAGCGTCAGGGATGGAGTGGCCTTTGGCCTGACTTCTCTGCCCCTCCAGCTGTGGGGCCAGTCCCCCAGTTTGTGGTCACAGGTGTTTGGAACAGCGTCCATTTTTTTTAGTGAAGGCTGCAGCTTCTGGGCCATTTGGCTGTCTCTATCCGAAGTCCCTCGAGCTCATCTTCCTTCAGGTTTTGTTTTCCATCATGTAAACCACCTGGGGTAAAACAGGCTACAGTTTTTCTAACCTCTTGGGCCTCTGGTTTTAATTTACTTGCCTGGCATTTGGTTTTCAGTTAATTTTCTTCATAGAGGTCACTGCTGGGTTACCCTGTTCTACTAACTCTAATACTAAGAAACTTTCATTCCAAGTTGTTTTCCTGGAAGCCTAGCTCCTCACGGACTTAGGAGGTTAGGGACCTCAGAGCACCATCTAGCTCCCATCTCAACAAAAGATGACCTTGCAACCAGCAGCACTGCCTGCCTGTGTTTCCAATTCTCCCTGACTTCCCGTCTGTGACCCGAGAAGTCTCGGGGTCTCAAGAATTCCCCAAGAAGAGCTATGCATGGCCTCTTTGTCACATTTGTTCCACAACCTGCCCTTCAGCATGGGACAAGGTTCCCATGGGTGTCTGGGACACCTCTGGGCAACCATCTCAAATGTAATAGTCCCTGAACCCAGTGCTTCTTTAGCTAATACTAACAATACCCACCAATTATTAAGCACTAGTTGTATACAGAACACTCTGTGTGGGTTATCCAGACTGAATCCTATAGCAGCCTAATGAGGTGGATACTATTATTGGTGCTTCTTGCCTGTGGGATAGAGATTATAGGAAACCATGGGATCAGCTGACAGTCTCTCCATGCAACATGGGAGTTGGGGTTTGAACCCACATCTGAGTGGCTTAAATCCCATGGTCATTACTGGCCCACTGATGTGCTGTGCATGAGGCCTTCATTTTCCTCACTGATGGTCAAGAACAATAAGGATATTAATATTATTTTTACTGTAAAAAAGTGTAAAAGTAGGATGATAATACAAAATGCAGTTGTTCTCATCTCCCCAAATGAACGAATGTTGGTATTTTTTCTTAAATTGAGACATCAAACCTTTCCAGTGAAGCAGAAGTCATCTATGTGCCCCTCCCAGTCCCATTCCCTGCTCATTTTCTGCCTCCTTCCCCTCCTAAAGACAATTAAACCACTGTTAGGAACTTGTGCAGATTTCATCTACTTGATTTTCCTCTTGCCACATAAATAATACTGGCTTGAAAGATTTAAACTTGAAATACGTGTTCTCATCGTGATTGCAACATCCCGCAACTTATCCGCTTATTCGTGTGTTGTGTTCTCTCCATGCTGATATTTACATATCTGATTAGCATTTTAACTTTTAATTGTACATGGTTCTGTTGGATGAATGCACAGTGATCTCTTTTCATTCCCTTCCTAATGGCCTTTTGTTTTCTTTTGTTTGTTTGTTTGCCAAGACAAGTGATGCAGCAGTGGGCATCCTTGTTCATATCTTACTCACGTGGTCGTGGCTTTCTCTATGGTCTATATGCACAAGAAGGCCTTTATTATTTAGATATAATTTTCTCAGTGAAAAATAGAGGGCAGTGTCTTATGAAGAGCATTGTTTTTTTTCTCTAAAGAACAGATATCAGTTACATTCCAGTGGCTGCTTGTGAGTGCCAGTAAACACACATGGTGCAGCCCAGGGAGGGAGGGTTAAGCCCTTGTGAGTTCTGTCTTGATTGAGGCCATCAGAGCTCTTAGTTAAATAAAAAGTTGTATGAATGTCTTTGGTGTGGTTATCTGTTGCAGAAACGAATACTTTCAGGTCTGATATTGACCTAAAGACAGAGGAATTTGCTTTAATAATTATCCTTCATAAATAATAGAACCAGGATTCTGATTCATGGATTTCCCAAGAACTCCCCCATGTTGCTGCTAGCTCCTCTTTAGTAAGACCTCAAAGGACCTTCTGGGCTTGAAGACCTCAGGTGTGGAGTTTCCATTGGAAGTCCCTCCATTTCGCCAGCCCCGCTGACAAAGTTCTTCATGGGGACATCATACCAAGTGGCTCTGTGGAGAGTGTCCCCTTCCTGCCTCACGATGATTGCCTAGATGGTGACAAACTTGGTCCTGTCTGACCGGAGTCAAAGTCCGTGCATGTGTAGGTGGTCTGAAAACCAAAGGAGAGGACAGAGACAGTTTTACTCTGTTCAGAAATAGCATGAGAGGTGGGTGACACTTCCAGTATCCTTTAGAGTCACGATTTGCCTTTCGTGCCACCCACCATAACCACAGACAGTGGTTGAATGAAGAAGTGGTGACATATTTTAAGGCCAGGGTGCTATGTCCATGGTCAGAGACTGAAAATATCAGTGGGTTTAAGAAGGGTTGAAATGGTTGCAAAGGTAACCAACCATCAGAGGCTGCTAGAGAAGGGGTCTGGGAAACAGCCACACTTACAGAGCTGCCGCAATGGGGTAGCAGCTATTCTTTGGCAATGCTCATTTCTGGAGGAGAGGCCTTATGCTGCAGCAGGCACTGCACAGGCTCTGGAGCTAGGACCTGACCCTTCCATGTATGCATAAGAGCTTCCAGCCGCTGAGCATGTCATGATGTGCCAGGCACTGTACTAGGCACTTTGTGTGTGTGTAGTCATTAGAATGACGGCCCCACAGTGTCCACATCCCACTCTCTGGAACCCATGAATATGTTAGGTTGTATGGCAAAGGAAACTAAGGTTGCAGAGGGAACTAAGGTCACTAATCAGCTGATTCTTTTCTTTCTTTCTTTCTTTCTTTTTGAGATGGAGTCTCACTCTGTCGCCCAGGCTGGGGTGCAGTGGCACAATCTCGGCTCACTGCAACCTCCGCCTCCCAGGTTCAAGCGATTCTCTGCGTCAGCCTCCTGAGTAGCTGGGATTATAGGCGTGAGCCACTGTGCCTGGCCCTTCTTTCCAACTCTTATTTTGGGTTTGGGGTACATGCACAGGTTGTTACATGAGTAAATTGCATGCCACAGAGATTTGGTGTACAGATAATTTTGTCACCCGTCGTTTGGATGTGTATCCCCACCAAATCTCATGTTGAATTGTAATACCCGGTATTGGAGGTGAGGCCTGATGAGAGGTGATTGAATCGTGAGGGTAGATTTCTCACTAATGGGGCTTAGCACCATCCTCTTAGTGCTGTTCTCCTGATAGTGAGTTCACTTGAGATCTGCTCATTTAAAAGCATGTGGCACCTCCTGCCTCACCGTCTCCTGCTCCTGCTCTAGCTGTGTGACATCCTCCTCCCACTTTTCCTTCTGCCAAAATGATAAGTTTCCTGAGGCCTCTCCAGAAGCCAAGCAGATGCCAGCATTGTGCTTTCTGTACAGTCCATAGAATTGTGAGCCAATTAAACCTCTTTTCTTTACAAATTATCCAGTCTCAGACATTTCTTGATACAAATTAAAGAACAGAATAATGCCACCCTATACATAGTTTTTCAATCCTCACCCTCTTCCTACACACCACCATCAAGTAGGCCCTTATTTGTGTCCATGTGTATTCAATGTTTAAGCTCCCACTGCATAAGTGAGAATATGCAGTATTTAGTTTTCTATTTCTTGTGTCAATTTGCTTGGGATAATGGCCTCCAGCTTTCCCCATGTTGCTACAAAGGACAGGCCTTCGTTCTTTTTTATGGTTGTATAGTATTTTATGGTGTATATGTACCACATTTTTTTTTACCCAGTCCACTACTGATGGGCAGCTAGGTTGATTCCATGTCTTCGCTATAGTGAATAGTGTCAGCTTACTTTAAAATGAGGAGCTTATTCTGGATGATCTGGGTGGGCCCAGTATGATCACAAGGACTTTGTAAATGTGAAGAAGGAGGCCAAAGAGTCAGAACCATAGAAAGATTTGAAGATACTGAACTGCTGACTTAAAGACTGAGAAAGAGGCCACAGGTAAAGGAATGTGGGTGGCTTCTGGGTGTTGGAAAAGGCCAAGGAAACAATTCTCCCTCGAGCCTCTGGAAGAAATAAAGCCCTGCTGACAGCTTGATCTCACCTTGTTTCGTATTTCTGACCTTCAGAATGATGAGAAAATACATTCGTGTTGTTTCGAACCACTTGGTTTATGACAGTTTGTTATGGGAGCGAAAGGAAACTCATCCACTCACCTCATCCCCTCTGCACCACTCTCCTCTGAGCAGCTGCTGTGGTCACACTTTCACAGATGAGGACACTGCAGCTGCAGGGCAGTTAAGCAACTCGCACGAGGTTCCACAGCCAGTTTGGCAAGGAACTGAGATTCCAACCTGGCCTGTACCCAGGTCTGAGCCCAGAATTGTGTGACCTTGGATAAGTTATTCAGGGTTCAGCCCTCAATCATGGCTAGAACTGAGGTGGGGCAAGTGAGGCACTCACCTTGGTGCAAAATTTAAGGGAGCGTCAAAAAAACTTAGTCAACAAGATGTAGTGTATTTTAGTGTAATGTATTAGAATTAAAATTGATGCAAAAACGCCATGATGAACAAAAAATACTAAAATTTCAAATAAACATAGGGTTAATTGCAATTTCTACATCTATAAAAGTAAGGACTATATCCTAACTTTGCAGGATGGTTGTGTGGAATTAAATGAAAGAATCTACAGAAAACATCTTGGGAACACCTGGCACATAGTAAGAGCTCATTAAATGATGATCGTTGTTTTGCAGGGGCACAGATGGTGCGTGAAAACCTGGCCCCAGTGCCAGGCTGCTGAGATTCACATTCTAGTTCTGCCATTTCCCAGTTGAGGGTCCTTGAGCAAGCTGTTTAACTGCTTAAAGTCTGAGGCTACCTTCAGAATCAAGGGTGGTGTCACCTCATTCTCAAACTCATTCTAACCATTTTCTTACAAGCAGCATGATTTTGTGCTATTTCTAAAATTTCTTCTCAATCTTTTTATTTTGGCCAGGTTGTTTACCTTTAGTGAATTCCGTCTTCTGAAAACGATACTTTTTTGGGTCTTCCTGCAACTAAACCACAAGATTATGGCAATTCCGACTTATGAAACCATGCTGACGTTTTTTAAGAGGTAACATAACTTAGTGTTGATTGATGAAATGCACAAATACTGAAATGTAAAACACTGCTCATAATGTCACAGGGGAAAAGCATCGGTGATATAATTTTTCATAGCATCATTCAGAGGGCAGTTTTTTTTGTTTTTAATGGGGCCTAAGATTATAGGATGCTTTCAGAACACCAGATTATCTAGAAAAGTAAATAACGAGTAGGTGTTGGACTATGAGATGATCAGGTGCTTCTGGGAACTTGTGTCCAGAAATGGGCATGATACAAAAGGTACTCCTCTGTTCAGGAAAATGACCACTCTACCCTCACCTTTAAAACTTCAGTAAAAAAACAATCAGCTTTCTCAGGTTGAATAAAATTCATTTTTTAATGTACCTAAATCAGGCCAGGTCATTCACATTTATATTTCTCTAGGTAACACATAAAATTCTGGGTTTTCTGGACAAAGGAAAAAAGCAATTGAATGAGCAAAGGTTTAACAGCATTAACCCAGTTTCTTATACTCTCTAAACTTCTCCATTTTAAAGGAAGATAACAATTATGATGATAATAGTGGGCACCACTGAAATATGCTTTACCGGGTACTGTCACTCTGATAGGCACTATCAATTCATTATCCCATTTAATCTACGTAATACCGATGGCTGGTTTTGTTATTCCCACTTTACAGATGGGGAAACTGATATAGAAATGCAGTATCTTGTCAGGGATCATGTAGGTGATAAGGAGTGGAGCCGAAATTGAGCCCAGATCTGCCAATGCCCAAGATGCTTTGCTGCCCATTCCTGGAACAGCAGATAGGATTGATTCGTCTCCTGTGCCCACAAAAGCTGGTGTAGTAGCTCACTGAGGATCTGCCTCAAACTGTGGAAGTAACCAGTGGCGTAACCTTGGCAGGTTTCTGCTTCTGTTCCCCACGTCCTCAGGAATGAGGGCTTCCAAGGGTGATGAGGCGAGTTTAAGGAAGTGGAGTAAAGATGCTTCATTTCTTTTGCATATGTGAGTTTAGCAGATAATCACACCTTCCCATATTAATCGGTGGATTGACCTGTTTAAGCCAAGTTTCATTTGCATTGTCTTGAAGCATTTAATTCATTTCTGGAACATCTGTGCACTGTGTTAACTAAAGAGCCCATTTTTTCTGGCTGTCTTGTTATTTGAGGAAAGCAGTACTCAGTGTCGGAATTATATGTACTTTGTTTAGTTTCCATATAATTTACTTTGAACCCAAATGTCTTACCCGCCCTCCCCCACTCTTTTAATAGCCTATGAGACACTTTTTTCCAATGAGTCATGCACACCAGGAGGAATTGCTGTTTGGCTCCAGGTCAGCTCTCGTACTGGAAATGTCTTAGCACTGGGAGATAGGAAAAGAGCTAGAATGTGGTGATTCATTAGAGCTGTGTTTTTAATGCGGGAGAAGCAAGTGAGGAGGAGGGAGTGCAGGTATGGGCCCCCTGCCGCAGTTGCTGTCACTCCTGAGCCAGAGACTCCACAGCTCTTCCCCCGAGTGCCGGGCACATGGGTGTCTCTCACCACCACAGCTTTGCTTCTGTTTTCCTTTTGAATCTACGTTGACTTGTCCCAGACCTCGCATCTCCATGCATTTCCCCAAGCCCCCGATCCTGTACAGTTTTCTTTGTTGGAAACCATTTGCTTCTTTCCAAGTCATGTCATTGCCTCGACCTAAGCAGTGACAACAAATCTTTCAACAGGGCCAAGTCCTCTCGCTATAGTATGGGGGTGACTCCAGACAGCCAGAGCCTGCTGTGTCCCTTCCCCGACCTCCCCCTTCCCTGCTCAGCCCTCCACTCTCTCCAGCAAGCTCTGGATCGGACTGGGAGAAAAGATGGGAAAATGAGGGGCTTGGATGCTCTCCCCGGCACACTGTGCAGGCCCACTCTGCCAGCACAGAGGACCCTGTGGCCCACTCTTAGCATTGAGGATGGTTCTCCTCCTGCTCAGCTCATCTCCTGCTCCAGAGTGGTAGCACCTCGAAGTTGTGCCCTTGTCAGTAGCCTCCATCTCCCAAATGTATCTCCTGAGTCTCGGGCTCCCTCACCTGAGATCTGACCTGGCTGCTCCTGCTTTCTCCAGCCCCCACCTGCTCTGCCTCCTCTCTCTGTGTGTGATGGGCTGTGCTGCCCAGCCCCTGATGAACCCTGCAGTTCATGTATATATCCTGCCCCTCCCAGGGACATCATAAGCAGCTTCAACAAAGGGCTTATAATCCTTCCTCTTGCCCCGACTTGCCTGGTACCTCATTAGACATATATAATGGCTTACTGAACTATGAGTCTCCATCAGACTTTTTTTCTTTTCTGTTTTTTTTTTTTTTTTTTTTGAGACAGGGTCTTGCTCTGTCACCCAGGTTGGAGTACAGTGGCATGATCATAGCTCACTACAGCCTCAAACTCCTAGGTTCAAGTGATCCTCTCACCTCAGTTTCCTGAGTAGCTGAGACTATAGGTGCATGTCACCACATCTGGCTAATTGTAAAAATTATTATTTGTAGAAACAGGGTCACTCTGTTGCCCAGGCTGGTCTCAAACTTCTGGTCTCAAGTGATCCTCCCACCTTGGCCTCCCAAAGCACTGGGATTACAGGCATGAGCCACTGTGCTGGGTACTATTTTTTTTTTCTTTTTTGAGGCAGGGACTCACTCTGTCACCCAGGCTGGAGTGCAGTGACACTATCTTGGCTGGCTGCAACCTCTGCCTCCCAGGTTCAAGCAATTCTAGTGCCTCAGCCTCCCGAATAGCTGTGGCTAGAGATGCGTGCCACCACACCCAACTAATTTTTGTATTTGTAGTAGAGATGAGGTTTCACCATGTTGGCCAGGCTGGTCTCAAACTCCTGGCCTGAGGTGGTCCTCCCACCTTGGCCTCCCAAAGCACTAGGATTGCAGGTGTGAGCCACTTTGCTGGGTTCATTTTTATGTAGCTCAGTTCATCTCAGAGAAGTGGGTCTTAAATGCTGATGGAAAATTCAGAGAATGCCATGTGTGTGGCAACTTGAAATCACAGCGATAGCAGACAAATTTCTATTTTTGTCGATGGGGGGGTGCCCATTGAGTGCACTAGCCCAAGAAAGATTCTCAGCTTTGCTCTAGGCTCTGAGAAGAAGAATGTCGCAGTAGATGAGCGGTATCTATCCTGGAGGCAGGAGCCAGGCTTGGTGGCACCCTGATTCCACATTTGCCATTCTCTGCAGAGGATCCCCAGGGCTGACCAGCGGCAGTGTGGGGGCCTTGTAGCTGCTGGCCTAGCAGGGCTGGTGGCCGGAGGGCTCGGCTGCCCTAAGGCTCCTCTGCTCCCTGTGGAGGTGGAGGGAGACTGCAGGGAGTCACAGCCTGGGCCAGCATTGCGTCACCAGGGGCGTTGAGCTACAAAGTTCAAAGGGGCAAAGGGAACAGCTAATCAAGGAAGCTCCAGTGGTCGCTGACCGGGATGTGCCAGGAGCATTTCAAAGTGAGACAGAGGAGCAGACCCCCGGGGAGACAGGCTGGGGAATGAGAAGAAAGGAAGCTATTTGGCCCAATTTTTAAAATTGCCAATATTGATAGAATAAATGACAGAGCAATCTACTTCCAGCAGAAGGGGACATTTTGAGGCCATCACATTATGGGAACTCACAAGATGGAACTGCTCTTTCCTAACGTGTCAGTAGTGGGGCAAGCTGAACAAATATTAGCTCACCCGGCCCTTGACCCTGCTAGGAAAGAAGCTGAGCAGCAGCTGCGGGCATGGCCTCGGCCAGCCCAGCATCCGGAAAGGAGGGTCGAGAGCCATCAGCTGAGTAAAATGAGTCACACGCCCCTTTCCTCATCTGTCTCAGCAGAGTCCGGAAGACAGGCTAAGAGGGAATGTAGTTGAATAATTGCCTTCTCCAGCGACAACTGTACCCAAAAATAAAGACATACGTCCAAGTCTTTTCAACTCTCCCATTTTTTTTTTTTTTTGTTCATTGAGTTTCTTGGTCAATCTTTCATTCATTCAACAAATATTTTTTGAACATGTGCCTCAGACACTGATCTAATGTTGAAGAAGTTTCTTTGCCTAGTGAGATGTTTAGAAACAACTTCAAGTTTATTGCGATCCAAGAACATCAGTGTAAGAAGGAAACATAAACACACAAATGCCTGCAAACATACACCTATGTGCAGATAAACGCATACACAATTACACACACCTAAAGTGCACGTGCACACGCGCGCACACACACACACACACACACACCCCTCTACACTCTTCAGTCCGTTTTCCTGGCAATAGCTAGTTTAGAAAAACAAATAGGCTGTCCAGAATTAAATTTAACATCTCCTTGTAGGAAAAAACAAAAAATGTAAGCAAAGCTGTTGCCTTCATCCATGAAGGAAAAGTCATCATTTCATTCCACTTGGTATTCTGAGAAGTTCAGAAAAGCTGTGAAAACCTGTAATTGGAGAAAGGCCAGAAGCAGGCAAATTTTCAACTTTTTAAAAGAACATTTTAAAATCAAGGCATAAAATTCATACAGGAAAGTGCGTGAACCTTAAATGAACAGCTCAATGAGTTTCTACAAAGTGAACACACCTGTGTAACCAGACCAGCACAGGGGACATGGCCAGCTCCTAAAGCTTCTTATGCCAGTCCCTACCTCTTCTACCAAAAGGAAACAGTATCCTGACCTGTTTTACTACTGACACGTCTTTTCTTTTTTTGAACTTTGTGTAAGTGGAATTGTGTGGCATACACTGTTAAATGTCTGGCTTCTTTTACGCAATAGTGTATCTGTAACATCCATCCATGTGGCTGCATGTAGCAATAGCTTGTTCATTCTCATAGAAAATGTCATTATATGATTATACCACAGTTTGTTCAGATGTTGGTGGACATGTTCAGCCACTAGGAATAGTATTGCTGTGTACAATCACGAACACGTCTGTGGTACACATAATTAAGTGTTCTGTGGGGTAAAACCTAGGAGTAGAATTACTATGTCACTGGGCATGAATAAGTT